GAGAACAGAGCCAGGTGACAGAGCTGAGGAGTGACCATGTCACAGCCAGCAATGGACTGAGCTCCACCTGGGCACAGTCCCGTTCACACTCAGCTCCCACAGCCTCATCTTGGCCACCAGGTACACACAGCACAATGAACACAGATTCTGGAAGGTTCTCCATGCTGCCATTTATTTCCTCCACAAGCTCTAAGTATTTCTATCATTTAATTTACCCGCCAATCCACCTGTCAGATCAAGGACATGAACAACCAAGTTTACATTCAGATTCTTATTTTCAGTGGGGAGTCAGGGGCTGCAGCTCAGGACAGCATGGAGATGACAGGATGGAATGTACCCTCCTGTCTGCTGAACCAGGAAGTTTGGCTGTGGAAGGGAACAGGGCAGCAGGGACAGGGTCCTGGTGTACAGGGGTGGCCGGGCTCCTCAGTTCTTCACATGGAGCCCACAGGGTCACAGGGAACATCAGACATTGTTGCTGAGAGTGAACTGAGGGGCTCAGGACGTCACAGGAGAGACCTGAGCACATCTCTGTCACTCTGTCAGGCCGGGCAGCTGTCTTCACGCTACAAACAAGAGTCATGAACAATCACTGTGAAGACAAAATCCCAACAACCCACCACTCACTCAGAGGGGATTCTGGGAGTCCCTGAACCCCAATCATGTCCACTTTGCCCCTCCCCAAATCAGTCCCCAGAGTGTCACCTTTACAGTCTGGGAGAGATACATCAGAGCTCTGGGCACTGTCCCTGCCTAGGGTAAAATTATATATAGTCACAGGAAGGTGAAAACATGGCCTCTAGAAGATTTCACTGGAGGAGGTATTATGAGTTGACTGAGCTCCCTAAATACTCCAGCTTCATTCCAAGGACCTCAGGGACAATCTTGCTCCCCACACTTACCTGGAGCCAGAGCATAGTTCCCTCCTTTTCCACCTGTGAGAAGAAAAGCTGTGAGAGATCAGGGAAGACCTGACCCTAGGAAGGTTCCAGAACTGACAGCAGACCCAGGTCAGAGACAGGAGCAATGAGGGGTGTGGATGTTTCCCATTAATGAGGCAGAGCACACTTCTAAAAGGGGCTGAGAGAGAACCAGACCTGCCCTTTCCTACCTGTGTTTCTCCTCCTCTTCCTCACAACAGCCACCACAGCAACAACGGCCACAGCTCCAAGGAGAAGCAGAACAACAATGATTGCCACAATGGGGACAGTGATGGGGACAGTGGACTGAGGTGGTTCTGGGAAGGTAAGGGGGAGGAAGGGAAAGTGGAGGTCATGACCCCAGCTCTTGGCCATGACCTCATGGTCTGCAGAAGGTTTCAGCTTCCCCTGACCCCAGCTCTGTACCCACACCCTCCTTACCCCATCTCAGGGTGAGAGGCTCAGGCAGGCCCTCATGGTGCACATGGCATGTGTAATTCTGCTCCTCCCCAGAAGGCACCACCACAGCTGCCCAAATCTGGAAGGTTCCATCCCCAGAAGGTCTGATCTCCACCAGCTCCATGTCCTAAGTCTGTTCCTCCTCCTCCCTCTGCCAGGTCAGGGTGATGAAGGCAGGGTAGAAGCCCAGGGCCCAGCACCTCAGGGTGACTTTCCCTTCAGGGCCAGGATGATGGGTCACATGTGCCTTTGGGGGATCTGTGTAGAAGATTTAAGAAATCCCTCACTTAGCCGGGCGGTGGTGGCGCACGATTTAATCCCAGCACTCGGGAGGCAGAGGCAGGCAGATCTCTGTGAGTTCGAGGCCAGCCTGGTCTACAGAGCAAGATCCAGGAAAGGCTCAAAGCTACACAGAGAAACCCTGTCTTGAAAAACAAAAACAAAAACAACAACAAAAAAAATCCCTCACTTAACAAGATAAAGTGAAATCTGCAAAGACAAAGTTAAACCAATGATGACACTAAACTGTGTCTGTTTGGACAATTCTGTCATCACACTAGTGACCTCAGGTAGAGCTGGTCCCCTCATCACAGAGCTGCACATTTTCCTGGGGGGACTCAGTAACTAAGAGGGAATCCACAAAGCCAGCAGGTCAGCATGGTCTTCCTCATGTGATGTTCTACAGCGTTAGTTAGGTAGTAAAAGAATGAAGGAATGGAAAATAATTAATTTATGTTATTAATTCATATCAAAATAAGAAATCAGGTACAAGGGCTCCATGAAGGGTGCCACCAACTCCTGCTGCCACCATTGAGGCACAAGCACTGTGGCCATCTTGCTGACCAGCATAACTGTCTGTCCAAGTGAACAGCCATCACCAAAGTGTGCAGCAGAAATGTGGAGAACCTCTGACACTCAGTCAGAGAAAATGACTCCCCAACTCCTGCCTCTGGAGACAAGATACAAGGCATTGTCACCAGGACCCCTGGAAGTGTGCTGTGGAGCCCAGTGCAGCACTTCCTGGGACACAGCGATGCTCACAGGGGTGTGTGGATCTTCCCTGTCACTCCTGTCCTGGAGCTGCAGAAGACGCTGTCTCTGAGGAAGTTCAATTCCTAATCCACTGGGACAACACTGTGACTTGTTGGGGCTGAGGGAGAGCAGGAGGGCTCTGGATGTTAATATGGCAGAAAACAGTCTCACAGGAACCTTTCTAGTTTAAAGGAAACACTGACTTGTCTAATTATCCAGATTAGCAGTTCCCCTGGCTCCTGGAGACTGAAACAAATGATAATAGAAGAGGAGGGAGAATACTATCCCAGTGAGGAAGAACTACTGACTAAAAGCAAAATAATATCAGGGAGAGAGTGGCGGGGAGAGAAATTTCCACAATTTAGTAATCACTCAGGGCACCTCATAAGTGCACATGTGACTATTCTAGGAATAGACGGAATAGGGGTGTGTGAGGGATGCAAACCTCAGCCACAGGGATTTGGGAGAATGTACTCTTGGGAAAGTTCTAGAAACTATGGAACCAGCCTAGGGTAGGGGCGTCCATGTCTCCCATCAGGTAAAGGAGACTCCCTGTCCTGTCGTGTAAGGCTGACACACTCAGATGACAGGACTCAGTTTCCACAGACCCTGGTGTGGGCAGAGACCCCGGCCTGGGAGAGGCCATGGCTGACAGCGGCTGCAGACTGCAGGAGCCACTGTGGTGATGTCGGGATCTCCTCTCCCTCCTCCTGACACAGATTTGCAACTGTCCAGGGAGAAGGCTGAGCCTGGGGGTCAGTGCGGCCCCTGCCATGCTGGATCAGGAGACCCAGGGACACTGTCTGCCCTGAGACAGGGGCATGACCCCAGCTGAGGAGGTTTCTTCTTCCTCAGGACTGAGCCCAGCCCGAGGCAGAGGGAGGAGCTGCCCGCGGCCCTGCACCTGTGCGCTGCAGCGTGTCCTTCCCGATCTCCAGTTATCTGCGCAGCCACTCCACGCACGCGCCCTCCAGGTAGGCCCTGTATCTCTCTGCCTCACCAGTCTGCTCCCACTTGCGCCGGGTGATCTGCGCCGCCGTGTCCGCCGCCGTCCACGTCGTCAGGTCGTCGTTCAGGGAGATGTAATCGCGGCCGTCGTAGGCGTACTGACTGTACCCGCGGAGGAGGCGCCCGTCCGACCCCACGTGACAGCCGTACATCCACTGGAAGGTGTGAGAGCCTGCGGGGACCCCGCGGTCAGCTCCGCCCACCCGCGGTCAGCCCCGCCCACGCGCGGCCAGCACCGCCCCGGCCCCGCCCACCCGCGGACTCCTCTAAACCGAAAGGGAAACCGGTTCCGGTCCCCGACTCTCCTCCCGAACCTCGGACCCGGGACCCGGGGCGACTCCGGCCCGTACGTAGGGACGTGGAGGGGTCGTGACCTCCGACCGGCGTCACTCACCGCCCTCGCTCTGGTTGTAGTAGCCGAGCGCGGTCTTCAGGTTCCCTCGGAAAGTCTGCTCGGTGATCTTGACGTTCCCTGTCTCCCTCTCCCAATACTCCGGCCCCTCCCGCTCCATCCACGGCGCCCGCGGCTCCATCCTCGGGGTCTCCGCGTCGCTGTCGAAGCGCACGAACTGCGTGTCGTCCACGTAGCCGACTTCCACGTACCGGGGCTCCCCGAGGCCGGGCGGGGACACGATGGTGGAGAAATACCGCAGCGAGTGCGAGCCTGGGGGCGGCGCGCGGTGAGACCCCGACCCTCCTCCCGGACCCCGGGCGGGTGCGCGGGCCGGGAGGGGCGCAGGGCGCGGGGCTCGGGACGCGGTGGAGAAGGGCGGGAGGGTCTGGCCGGGCGACGGGGACGCGGCTTCCCCAGGGCCGCCCCCGCCCTCCCCGCAGGGTCGTTTCCCTCCCGACCCCGCACTCACCCGCGCGGGTCCGGGTCGGGGCCAGGACGGCCGCCAGCAGCAGGAGCAGCGTGCGCGGAGCCATCGCACCCATCTCGGATCTGGGGCGTCTGAGTTCCGCGGGCTGCGTGGACTTTATAACCCGTGACCGCGGCGACGCTGATTGGTTCTCCGGGATCTCGGCACCCAATGGGGGTGAGAACAGGACACTCGTCATCAGTGTCCGGGCAGAAGGACCCGACCCAGGTCAGGAGCTGGAGAAGTGAAACTGGGGACCTGGGGATCCCCAGCCCTGGGCTCCCACCCCAGACCTCACCGCCTGGGGACTGAGACTTTGCTGAACCCTGTGCTGCGGGACGGAGCGCTGTTTGTCGTGGTGTCTCTGAGCCGCCTAAGGACAACTGCTCCTCAGGTTAGTCAGGATGAAACCTAAGAGCACGAAGTGTCCAGGGAAAACACACACAGCACTTAAAATGAATGTTCAGAAAACAGGTGCTGTCGGAGTCCTGGTGAGGGTGCGGGGCTGCCGTGGACACCGTCATCGGGAGGTGACTGGAGTTTTCACAGCTCTGGTCAAGCGCTTTTGTCCCTGTGTTATGTGACTCTCCGTGCTGGAGTCCCTACTCACCTCTGCTTTCACTTTCTACTTCAGTTATGTGTGGCTGGGATTTGAAGACATCAAGTCAAAATCCACAGAAACAAAAAAGACTAATTAATTTTTCTCCGCACTACTCAACAGGGATGAAACCTCAAATCCCCAGTGTGTACCTCTGCCATGAGAATTACCTCTGCCCGGTGTCCACAGTGCACAGGCCTGAGAAACTCAGAAGCCAACTGTTATCAGACCCAGGGCTCCACAGGCCTGTGACATTCATCTCCCTCATCTCATCGGCTCATAAAGTGTGAGTGAAGATTGTAGCTAGTCTTTCTCTGTCCCGCCAGCCTGCTCCCAAACCAGACATGGAGACTTATTAATTATGAAAGCTCACTTGATAGCTTAGGCTTGTTTCTAATTAATTCTTATAACTTAAATTCACTCATATGTTTTAATCTACATTCCTTTTCCTGGCTTGGTTACTTTTACCTTGTAAAGCCCATGAATGCTGCTTGCTCTGTGTCTCTAGCTTCTCCTATATGTTATGCTTCCTCAACGTCTCCTGGTGACTCTACCCTTCTTCCCAGAGTCCTCTGTACCTGGAAATCCTGCCTAGCTATTGGCTGTTCAGCTTTTTATTAAACAAATGAAAGTGACGTTTCTTCACAGTGTATGAAAAGATTATTGCACAACATTCCCCCCTTTTGTCTAAATGAAGAGGAAAGATTTTAACTCTAAGGATGGAATATGCATACAGTAAGACCAATTACCAAGTAAGAAATACACTTACAATGTCCGTTCCATTGATATTTGGCAAATTTATATGAAAACATTCCATTATCTGTCCTCTCTTGATGAATCCAAACTTTTGTACCTAATTTACTTTCTATCATGACTAAGGGAAACTGTAACTATAACTATCTAGTCTTCAACTCCATCAGAGACCTGAGAAGGATATAATATCACCTGAGTAAACAGGAAGTGCTGAGCAAGCAACTTCCAAAACTATGAAATGACAGAGACATCTGGCTGCCTGGTCAGTCACCCCAGGGTTCTTCTGTAATGCTAGGACATCCATCTTCAGCCTGCAGGCCCAGATTATCTGACAGACTTTTCTGTGAAGCAGGAATTTTTGAAGGACTGTCCACCTTGTCTTGGCAAAGTTCAACAATCTTTTCCTTTGTGTCCTGCTTGTCCAGTTTGTACAGCACACTGTCAGTAGTTAAGACAAGAGCAGTTTCTTGCCCAAATGGCTGTTCTTGCTCTAGGTGGAAGTTTCTGTGTCCAGCCAACAACTCAAATACCAGGCAGCTGCTTTCAAATAATTGACGTAGGGGCTTAATATTACTTATGAATTCTTGGCCAATAGATCAGGCTTAGTTCTAACTAGCTCTTACATTTAAATTAACCCATAATTCTTATCTATATTTAGCCATGTGGCTTGGCACCTTTTCTCAGTACAACATTCTCATCTTGCTTCTTCTGCATCTGGCTGGTGAGTCCTTGACTCCACCCTTCCTCTTCCCAGAATTCTCCTAGTCAGCCCACCCTGCTTATACTTACTGCCTGGCTGCTGGCCAATCAGCATTTAATCAAACCAATCAATTAACAAATCTTTACAGTGTACCAGAGCATTATCCTACAGCTCTTGCCACCTTGAAAGCAAACTCTACATGGAGTTTCTTCGATACCCATCATCTTCTCTGAAGTAAATTTGTTCTGCCAGGAGCAGATGTGTCTCATCATGAAAAGCGTTATGTTATTATAACATTTTAAATGTCATATTCTGTAGGTCTTTGAAGTGTTTGAAGATCACTATCTATCTAAAACCTATCTCTGTATGACCTTGAAAGCATACCTACCATGACCATAAGTTTGATTGTTATAGATGTCTAAGTTAAGGCATTCCTAAGGTATATAGGTTGGTTTAATTCAGGAGTGCCTTCCACAGTCCAGTGTCTCTCAGCAGCTGTAGTTTGTTCATTAGCATTCAAAAAAATCAAAATTAACAAGTACCATATAACTCCTTGTGTTATAATATTTCCCATCTTTTCAAGATTTATTCTTTTTTATTACTTCTTTCTTTAAAGACTATTTTTTAAAACTGCTTATTTTTTTATGACTGTATTCTTTTCTTTATTTTTCTTAAACTTAAGCATACTGTTAAACACACTGTAACCTGTTTAGAGGTTTTGTCTGTCTGAACCTGCTTTACTGTGTATCTGTAACCTTTTCTGTCTGCATGAGCAAAACCTTAAACCATTGAGTAGCTTAGCTCATGGTTCACTGGTGGCTCAAGCCTGCATGTAGTGTCCACGAGATGCATTTCTGTACCATGTGAGAGGCTGCAGGACTAAGGAGCCGTGTTTGACTCCATTTTTGTATGTTTGGAAACTTTTTTAAAGCTGTCTCAGGTCTTATGTAGAAATATGTGCCTGGAGGTTGAGCATCATTTATAGTGAGACTTTCTCTGTCCCTGCTGTCAAATCACAACATGGATACTTATTATTTATTATGGAAGCTCACCCTATAGCTTAGGCCTGTTTCTAACTAGTTCTTATAACAAATTAACCCAAATACTTTAATCTAATGTCTTACTTAGGGTTTACTGTTGCTGTGAAGAGACACCATGACCATATATTTCTTATAAAGAAAGTATTTAACTAAGGGATGCTCGCTTACAGTTTCAGAGGTTCAGTCCATTATGATCATGAATGGGAGCATGGCAGCATGTTGGCAGACATAGTGCTGGAGCTGTTAGTCCTACATCTTGCAGGAAACAGGAAAGTGACTGACTGTCACATGGGGGAAGCTTGAGAAAAAGAGACCTCACAGCCTGCCCTCACAATAACACACTTCTGCCAACAAGGCCACACCTCCAAACAGTGCCACTCCCTTTGGGGGCCATTTTCTTTCAAACCATGGCATCTATGTTCTGTTTCATTTGGTTTGTCAAGACAGGGTTTCTCTGTGTAGCCCTGCCTGTCCTGGAACTTAATCTGTAGACTAGGCTGGCCTCCAACTCAGAGATCTCTCTGCCTCTGCCTCTTGAGTGTTGGGATTAAAGGCGTGCACCACCAGGCCTGGCTCTCTTTGTTTTATGAGACAGCTTTTCACTGTGAGACCTGACATATGTGGGCTTCATGGAATCGGTTGTTTGTCGGGCACTGTCTGGACACCCTCAGGCCCTGGTGACAATGTGGAGCTGGTGCCACTGGCTTAGTTTTCCAACAGCCTCCTTCTGTGTACTTCAGATCACTCTCCTCACACTTGGCCTTGATGCTCACACTGGCACAGCAGCCTGCACCATCCCAGTCCCCAGCAGTGGGCTTCGGACCAATCACTGTCACTCCAGAGTCGTCACATACAAGATGCAACATGATCTCCCTCACGGATGCCTTCAGAGAGTCCTGTGTGAAATTCCCACTGGGCAACCATGACCTTGTCATCAGTCATGTTTCTTGACTCTAGCTACAAAGAAACTCAGTCTGCCTCAGCCTCTGATCCCACAGCACAGTAATGCTGACCTAGGAGCTCAAGGAAGCCATGGATAGGACAAAACACTGAGCCTGTCTTTTCTATGACAGTGAGTCCATGCTGTGTCCTACATTGGGCTGCTGTCTGCCCTCCATGTTCATTACCATTGTACAGAGTACACATGTGCCTCACATGGACTTCAGAGGCTCCTGGTTTTACTTGAAAACCTCACAGGACACCAGCCTGTTGGAGTCCTTGCAGACGGGGTCCTGAAATGTGGTGGCAGAGGTGACACACATCCACTGTTGTCCCCTCAGACTGAAAAGTGCTGAGCACTGGGACACTCTTCTCACCCTCACTGTCCAGTGTGCCAGGCTTGCACATGAGGAGAGCAGAATGCATGCCTGGAGCCCTTGAAGGTCAGAAGAGATGTCAGATCCCCTGGAGTTTTGTGTGGTTGTGAACCACCATGTGGGTGCTGAGAACTGAGCCCAGGTCCTCTACAGGACAGGTGCTCTGAACCACACAGCCAACTCTCCAGTCATTCCAAATTAATTTTTAAATAATTATCTTTTTTGTTGTTGTTGTTTGTTTCTTTTTGTTTTTGGAGAAAGGGTTTCCCCGTGTAGTCCTGGCTGTCCCGGAACTCACTCTGTAGACCAGGCTGGCCTGGAGCTCAAGAGATCCTCCTGCCTCTGCCTCCTGAATGCTGGGATTAAAGGCGTGCCCTACCCCTGCCCGCTTTAAATAACTATCTTATTGTGTGTTAACAGAAACAATATTTTGTCTGAGAAATAACTATTTTGCAAAACAAGACAACAGAGCAAGAAGAATGCATTTTTTTACACTTCATATTTTCCCACGTCCTCTTTTGTCCATTTTGTTTGAAGATCACAGCACTCTCCCATCTACTTTCACATTTAACCATCATTTGGTTGAAATTTATGGGGAAACATAAACTTCATGGCACTGCACAAGAGCTGTTGAAGGAACCAGGCTGACATCATAACAGGCTGTCAGTCTTCTCTCAGAGATCAGGCCTCCAGTTCAGTTTCTTGAGACTTGAGCAAGCAGTTTCTGGGAGGGCCGTGAACAAAAGACATAGTCCTTGCAGTAGCGCCCTTTCTGTACGTACTCTGACTGCTCAAGGTTCAGCCAGGTGTTTACTGTCTGGGACCCCTCACCAACTTAGAGCTACATGAATGGTTCAATGTGAAAATGCCAGGCCAGCCAGCCTCCATGGCAGCTCAAGGACAGAGTCTGGGCCACTGAGTCAGCCCCCATAGTCAGTTCGTGCCAGGCCAGCCAGCCCCCATGGCAGCTCAAGGACAAAGCCCGGGATTTGTCCAGATCTGCCCAAAAATGATAACTGTAACCCCCAACCAATAAATTCAAAGGTTACACACCCTCGCTCAAATCATATGACACCAAGACTCGTACCACCCTGTTTGTGTATTTTCCCTTTAAAAAACCCCTCACCCTGAGAGCTTAGGGCCGTCCTCCTCCACCCACTGTGTTGGATGTTAGACACGGACCAAGCCCGGGCTTGTTATCAATAAACTCTTGTGTGTTTTGCATCAGATATCGGCTCTGTGGTGGTGTTGTTTGGGGGTCTCGCGACATGGCCACAACACTGTTATACTTAAAGTCTTCAAATGTTCATGGACCATCAGTTTTGATATAACAATAAAATAACACCTTTAAGCTTTTTCTAAAAAAAAAAAAAGATGTATTTTACTTTATGTATGTATTTTCCTGCATGTAGGTATGTACAACACATGGTGCCTGCTGCCCTAGGAGGTCAGAAGAGAGCATCTGATGCCCTGGAGCTGTACAGGTGCTTGTGAGCTGCCTCATGGGTGCTGGTCCAGGAAAAGGAGGGATGGGTTGATCTGAGGAGAGGGTGGTGCCTGCAGGGAGCAGAGTGAGACCCATGTGCCCCTCAGTCTTAGTTATATATTGCTGTGATAATCAAAATGAACCTGGTAGAGAAAGGGTTTTTTTCATCTTACACTTCCACATCTCAGTCCATCATTTAAGGGATTCAGGGCAGGACCTTGTGGCAAGATCCTGGAGGTGGGAACTGAAGCAGAGGCCATGGAGGGTGCTGCTTACTGGCTTGTTCCTCATGGTTTGCTCATCCTGCTTTCTTATACAAACCAGGACCACTGCCTAGCTGTGGCACCGCCCACAGTCGGCTGGGCAGTCCCATATTAATTATTAAAGAGAAATTTGTCATAGAGTCTTGCCTAAAGGCAAGATGGATGGAGGGATTTCTTCAATTGAGGTTCTTCTCCCCAAATATGTCTAGGTTTGTGTCAAAACAAACAAAAACCAAACAGCGCAACCTCCCACGGCCGGGTCACGGGGACTGAGGATTGCCTGGAGGAGTTTGGGGAGGATGTGTATGAGCCCCTCCCCTACCGGAGCATCAGAAACACCCTCCTGGGGGGAGGACCCACTGTTAGGATAGCTGGACTGCAGAGAAGGGGACACAGTGGGTCCCAAATCCATCCTTGTCCCTCAGTCCTGAGGACCTTTCTCTCCCTTGCCTGATGGGTGATGCTGCTGATATAATCACAAGAGACTGATAAAGACAGGGAAAGTGGAGATGTGGGAGAGAAGTGGGATAATTTTCTTCCTTCAGAATGAGCAAATCTGATTTCTGAGGGACTGAGGAGAAATAAGCAGGTAGGTAGGTAGGTAGAGAGACATAGGGATAGAGATTGATAGATATGTAGTTAGATGATAGATAGATGGATGATAAACTGATGATAGAGCATAGATATATGATAGGAAGGAAGGAAGAAAGAAAGAAAGAAAGAAAAAGAAAAAGAAAAAAAGAAAGGAAGGAAGAAAGGAAGATAAAGACAGAGAATTAAGGAGAATCAGAAGGAGCATTCTTCCTCTCTTTGGACATTCACAATTTCCCTTCTTGCCCAGAGTTCATAAACTTCAGGTCCTGCACAAAGAGACACCAATGGCCTGCACACCTGGGGCAGCATTCAGGGCTGACCTGTGGGGCTGGTCTCTTCTGAGAGTGACATCGGGGAGGACAGGGATGGGGCCTTGGGTCTGGTCTTACTTAGCGTTAGTGTCCATTCCACTTCTAGGTGAGGTGGCTTCTGTATGGAAGGGGATGTAGAGGACAGAATAAGCAATGATAAGATGTATCTTAGTCACTGGTCTACAGCTGTGCAGAGACACCATGGCCAAGGCAACTCTTATAAAATAAAGCATTTAAATAGGGTTTGCTTCCAGTTTTGGAGGCTTAGTCCATTATCATCATGGGGAGCATGGCAGCACACAGGCAGGCCTGGTGCAGAACCTGAGGCCTACATCCCCCCATCCCCCACCCCCCCACCCCCCACCCCCCACCCCCCGAGAAAAGGTTTCTCTGTGAAAAAGTCCTGGCTGTCCTGGAATTCACTCTGTATGTAGATCAGTCTGGCCTGGAACTCACAGAGATCTGCCTGCCTCTGCCTCTGGAGTGCTGGGATTAAAGGTATGCGCCACCAGCGCCCAGCTGAGGTCTACATCCTGATCTGAAAGAGTTAGACTGGGCTGACATGGGCTTTTGAAACCTCAAAGTCCAGCCACAGTGACACACTTCTTCCAAGAAGGCCACATCTCTAATCCTTCTCATCCTTTCAAAGATGCCCGCTCCCTAGTGACTTAAGTATTCAAGTATGTAACCCCATGGGACCCTTATGGACCCTTTGCCTGCTTGCATGTCTGTGCAGCACGTGACTGCAGTACCCAAGGAGGCCAGAAAAGGGCACCAGATCTCGCTGTAGATGGCTATGAGCCACCCTGTTGTTGCTGGGAATTGAACTGAGGACCTCTGGAAGAGCAACCAGTGCTCTTAACCTCTAAGCTATCTCTCCAGTCCCTCTGGTTACATCTTTATTCCAATTTTTTTTTTTTTTTTTTGGTTTTTCGAGACAGGGTTTCTCTGTGTAGCTTTGAACCTTTCCTGGAACTCACTTGGTAGCCCAGGCTGGCCTCGAACTCACAGAGATCCGCCTGGCTCTGCCTCTCGAGTGCTGGGATTAAAGGCGTGTGCCACCACCGCCCGGCCCACATTTTTATTATGAGCCTTTGAAATAACCACAAAACCTTGTCCTTTGAGATTTTTCCACACATTTACTGAGCCACATTGGGGGGTAAATAGAGTGCCCACCTTGTACACCCCAGGTCCTGGGTTCGATTCCTCAACACCTCCAAAACTAGGGTGGTGGCACACAGGCTGGGCAGTGAGATGACTCCGTGGATACAGGGGCTTGCCACCAAGTCTGACCATGTGAGTTCAGTCCCCAGAACCCACAGTGGAAAGAGAGAACTGGCTCCCTAAAGTTGTCTTCTGACACTCACCCACAAACACACACACACACACCACGGCTCACCTCATTTGCACACCATACACCTACAGTAATGTTATACATACATAAAATAGTTTAAATTTTTCCTTGACTTTCTTTGCATGGCTTGACCTTAAATCCCTCTGACAGTTTCTCCTCACAATGTGGGTCTTGGACACAGGCAAATCCACCCATTGGAAAGTCTGGAGGAAAACTAGACATAATGTATGTATTTGTGTTTCTGTGTTCTTTAACATGAAATCTTGTTTCCTCTTTTGATTTTCGTTACATTGATTTACTGATTCTGTGAGGGGATGCGTGTGTCATGATGCCTGTGTGAGACCCAGAGGATAACTTCTGGGAGTTGGTTCTTCCCTTCATGTGGCTTCCGTGGATCGAGCTCAGGTCATGAAGCTTGGGGGCAAGTCCCTTCACCCCCTGAGCCGTCTCGATGGTCCCCTTGGAGACCAGTGGGCTTGGACTTTTCCTTTTGAAGGTTCCCTGCATTCCTGGGTTTGGCACACAGGAGATCCGGCCACCCTGACATTAGAAAAGGCATTTCCTGGCCTCACATGCAGCAGCGTTGCTTTGGGTGGCTCTGGAGAACCCCACCTTCTTGCCCAGGTCCCAGCTGCAGGAGTGTCAGCCAGCTGCTGCCTGGAAGATCCCGTATTTGCAGGAGAGCTTGGGTGTCACTGTGTGTTAGTCACTGTGGTCTTTTGAGTGAGATGACCCCTACATCTTGGTCATTTGAATACTCAGTTCCCAGCTGGTGCTGTTTGGGGAGGCTTGGGAGGTGTGGCCTTGGAGGATTGTGTCACTGGGGGGTGTGGTTGGAGATGTGAGTCCTCAGCTGTCCCTGCTGCCAGGCTGTCACTTGCTGCAACACTTCCCTGCCACGATGGTGATGGACTCTTAACTCTGGAACCCTAAGCCCCAGACAAACCCTTCCTTCTGTGAGTTGTCCTGGACGTGATGTTTATCACAGCAGCAGGTTAGTAACTGATACAGTTGCTTTCCCATTACTGTGATGTAATGCCAGACAGGAAGCCACTTAGGGAGGAGGTTTTATCCTGGCTTATGGTTCGAGGGGATACAGTCCGTCATGGTGGGGAGGCTAGCAGCAGGAGGGGGCTGGTCACACTGAGTCTGCAGTAGGGGATGTTAGTACACAGCCCGCTTTTTCCTCTTTATTCTCTCCAAGACCCTTGCTATGGTATGGGATGGAGCCATCCACACCCAGGGTGAGTCTTGTCTCAATTAAACCTCCTCTTCTCTCCGCCCACCCACCCTGCCTCCTCCTCCCAACCCAACACCCACTCCCACCCACAAGAAGGCAAACATTCCTTTTAAATAAACTTAGTTCTACAATAGACTCAGCCTGCAAATCCCTGAGTCACCACTGGGGGCAGCACCAGGATTCCCAGAGCCAGGGAGGGGGAGGGGACCTTGGGGAAAACACAGATCCATCAGGACAGACTGAGATGAGACCCTGTGGATCCCTCCTCTCTGCCCATCCTACAACCTGGGTTAGATTCTGAAAGATGGGAAAGAAGGAGAGAACCTCTAGGGAGGGGCCTGAAAGGAGGCAGGAGCTAGGGGACTGAAGTTCATCTCCTCAGTCCACAGTCTCCTGAGTTGGACCTTGGGAAACAAGGATGGACAGACACCTCTTAATGCTGTCACTCAGGGACCCCAAGGGATAAGGAGGCAGGGACACTCACAGGAACAAGAACAGGCCTAGTCCTCCATACAAACTAAAGAGACAAGAAATAAACAGAGAAGACAGGGTGAAGAGCCATGGCCAAGTCAGAGCCCAGGCTGACCTGTCACAGCTGCCCTGGCTGCTCACAGTCCTAGGGACAGGACAAGGCTCTGTCATCCCAGTGTCCCTGTGATCACAGACTCTCAGCATGTGGTTCAAGTGATGAAGAGAACAGAGCCAGGTGACAGAGCTGAGGAGTGACCATGTCACAGCCAGCAATGGACTGAGCTCCACCTGGGCACAGTCCCGTTCACACTCAGCTCCCACAGCCTCATCTTGGCCACCAGATACACACAGCACAATGAACACAGATTCTGGAAGGTTCTCCATGCTGCCATTTATTTCCTCCACAAGCTCTAAGTATTTCTATCATTTAATTTACCCGCCAATCCACCTGTCAGATCAAGGACATGAACAACCAAGTTTACATTCAGATTCTTATTTTCAGTGGGGAGTCAGGGGCTGCAGCTCAGGACAGCATGGAGATGACAGGATGGAATGTACCCTCCTGTCTGCTGAACCAGGAAGGTTGGCTGTGGAAGGGAACAGGGCAGCAGGGACAGGGTCCTAGTGTGCAGGGGTGGCCGGGCTCCTCAGTTCTTCACATTGAGCCCACAGGGTCACAGGGAACATCAGACACTGTTGCTGAGAGTGAACTGAGGGGCTCAGGACGTCACAGGAGAGACCTGAGCACATCTCTGTCACTCTGTCAGGCCGGGCAGCTGTCTTCACGCTACAAACAAGAGTTATGAACAATCACTGTGAAGACAACATCCCAACAACCCACCCCTCACTCAGAGGTGATTCTGGGAGTCCCTGAAACACAATCATGTCCACTTTATCCCTCCCCAAATCAGTCCCCAGAGTGTCACCTTTACAGTCTGGGAGAGATACATCAGAGCTCTGGGCACTGTCCCTGCCTAGGGTAAAATTATATATAGTCAGGAAGGTGAAAACATGGCCTCTAGAAGATTTCACTGGAGGAGGTATTATGGGTTGACTGAGCTCCCCAAATACTCCAGCTTCATTCCAAGGACCTCAGGGACAATCTTGCTCCCCACACTTACCTGGAGCCAGAGCATAGTGCCCTCCTTTTCCACCTGTGGAGAGGAAAGCTGTGAGAGATCAGGTAAGACCCAACCCTAGGAAGTTTCCAGAACTGACAGCAGACCCAGATCAGAGACATGAGCAATGAGGGGTGTGGATGTTTCCCATTAATGAGGCAGAGCACACTTCTAAAAGGGGCTGAGAGAGAACCAGACCTGCCCTTTCCTACCTGTGTTTCTCCTCCTCTTCCTCACAACAGCCACCACACCAATGATCACAGCTCCAAGGAGAAGCAGAACAGTAATGATTGCCATGATGGGGACAGTGATGGGGACGGTGGACTGAGGTGGTTCTGGGAATGTAAGGGGAAGGAAGGGAAAGTGGAGGTCATGACCCCAGCTCTTGGCCATGACCCTGCTCAGGGTCTGCAGAAGGCTTCAGCTTTCCCTGACCCCGGCTCTGTACCCACACCCTCCTTACCCCATCTCAGGGTGAGAGGCTCAGGCAGACCCTCATGGTGCACATGGCATGTGTAATTCTGCTCCTCCCCAGAAGGCACCACCACAGCTGCCCAAATCTGGAAGGTTCCATCCCCAGAAGGTCTGATCTCCACCAGCTCCATGTCCTGAGTCTGTTCCTCCTCCTCCCTCTGCCAGGTCAGGGTGATGAAGGCAGGGTAGAAGCCCAGGGCCCAGCACCTCAGGGTGACTTTCCCTTCAGGGCCAGGATGATGGGTCACATGTGCCTTTGGGGGATCTGTGTAGAAGATTTAAGAAATCCCTCACTTAGCCGGGCGGTGGTGGCGCACGATTTAATCCCAGCACTCGGGAGGCAGAGGCAGAGGCAGGCAGATCTCTATGAGTTCGAGGCCAGCCTGGTCTACAGAGCAAGATCCAGGAAAGGCTCAAAGCTACACAGAGAAACCCTGTCTTGAAAAACAAAAACAACAACAACAAAAAATCCCTCACTTAACAAGATAAAGTGAAATCTGCAAAGACAAAGTTAAAACAATGATGACACTAAACTGTGTCTGTTTGGACAATTCTGTCATCACACTAGTGACCTCAGGTAGAGCTGGTCCCCTCATCACAGAGCTGCACATTTTCCTGGGGGGACTCAGTAACTAAGAGGGAATCCACATGAGCCAGCAGGTCAGCATGGTCTTCCTCATGTGATGTTCTACAGCGTTAGTTAGGTAGTAAAAGAATGAAGGAATGGAAAATAATTAATTTATATGTTATTAATTCATATCAAAATAAGAAATCAGGTACAAGGGCTCCATGAAGGGTGCCACCAACTCCTGCTGCCACCATTGAGGCACAAGCACTGTGGCCATCTTGCTGACCAGCATAACTGTCTGTCCAAGTGAACAGCCATCACCAAAGTGTGCAGCAGAAATGTGGAGAACCTCTGACACTCAGCCAGAGAAAATGACTCCCCAACTCCTGCCTCTGGAGACAAGATACAAGGCATTCTCACCAGGACCCCTGGAAGTGTGCTGTGGAGCCCAGTGCAGCACTTCCTGGGACACAGCGATGCTCACAGGGGTGTGTGGATCTTCCCTGTCACTCCTGTCCTGGAGCTGCAGAAGACGCTGTCTCTGAGGAAGTTCAATTCCTAATCCACTGGGACAACACTGTGACTTGTTGGGGCTGAGGGAGAGCAGGAGGGCTCTGGATGTTAATATGGCAGAAAACAGTCTCACAGGAACCTTTCTAGTTTAAAGGAAACACTGACTTGTCTAATTATCCAGATTAGCAGTTCCCCCTGGCTCCTGGAGACTGAAACAAATGATAATAGAAGAGGAGGGAGAATACTATCCCAGTGAGGAAGAACTACTGACTAAAAGCAAAATAATATCAGGGAGAGAGTGGCGGGGAGAGAAATTTCCACAATTTAGTAATCACTCAGGGCACCTCATAAGTGCACATGTGACTATTCTAGGAATAGACGGAATAGGGGTGTGTGAGGGATGCAAACCTCAGCCACAGGGATTTGGGAGAATGTACTCTTGGGAAAGTTCTAGAAACTATGGAACCAGCCTAGGGTAGGGGCGTCCATGTCTCCCATCAGGTAAAGGAGACTCCCTGTCCTGTCGTGTAAGGCTGACACACTCAGATGACAGGACTCAGTTTCCACAGACCCTGGTGTGGGCAGAGACCCCGGCCTGGGAGAGGCCATGGCTGACAGCGGCTGCAGACTGCAGGAGCCACTGTGGTGATGTCGGGATCTCCTCTCCCTCCTCCTGACACAGATTTGCAACTGTCCAGGGAGAAGGCTGAGCCTGGGGGTCAGTGCGGCCCCTGCCATGCTGGATCAGGAGACCCAGGGACACTGTCTGCCCTGAGACAGGGGCATGACCCCAGCTGAGGGGTTTCTTCTTCCTCAGGACTGAGCCCAGCCCGAGGCAGAGGGAGGAGCTGCCCGCGGCCCTGCACCTGTGCGCTGCAGCGTGTCCTTCCCGATCTCCAGGTATCTGCGCAGCCACTCCACGCACGCGCCCTCCAGGTAGGCCCTCCGTCTCTCTGCATAACCAGCCTGCTCCCACTTGCGCCGGGTGATCTGCGCCGCCGTGTCCGCCGCCGTCCACGTCGTCAGGTCGTCGTTCAGGGAGATGTAATCGCGGCCATCGTAGGCGTACTGATGGTACCCGCGGAGGAGGCGCCCGTCCGACCCCACGTGACAGCCGTACATGAGCTGAAAGGTGTGAGAGCCTGCGGGACCCCGCGGTCAGCCCCGCCCACCCGCGGTCAGTCCCGCTCCGGCCCCGCCCACCCGCGGACTCCTCTAAACCGAAAGGGAAACCGGTTCCGGTCCCCGACTCTCCTCCCGAACCTCGGACCCGGGACCCAGGGCGACTCCGGCCGGACGCAGGGACGTGGAGGGGTCGTGACCTCCGACCCGCGTCACTCACCGCCCTCGCTCTGGTTGTAGTATCGGAGCGCGGTCCTCAGGTTCCCTCGGAAAGTCTGCTCGTAGTTCTTGACTCCCCGTGTCTCCCTCTCCCAATACTCCGGCCCCTCCCGCTCCATCCACGGCGCCCGCGGCTCCATCCTCGGGGTCTCCGCGTCGCTGTCGAAGCGCACGAACTGCGTGTCGTCCACGTAACCGACTTCCATGTACCGGGGCTCCCCGAGGCCGGGCCGGGACACGGCGGTGTGGAAATACCACATGGAGTGCGAGCCTGGGGGCGGCGCGCGGTGAGACCCCGACCCTCCTCCCGGACCCCGGGCGGGTGCGCGGGCCGGGAGGGGAGCAGGGCGCGGGGCTCGGGACGCGGTGGAGAAGGGCGGGAGGTCTGGCCGGGCGACGGGGACGCCGCTTCCCCGGGGCCGCCCCCGCCCTCCCCGCAGGGTCGTTTCCCTCCCGACCCCGCACTCACCCGCGCGGGTCCGGGTCGGGGCCAGGGCGGCCGCCAGCAGCAGGAGCAGCGTGCGCGGAGCCATCGCCCCCATCTCGGATCTGGGGCGTCTGAGTTCCGCGGGCTGCGTGGACTTTATAACCCGTGACCGCGGCGACGCTGATTGGTTCTCCGCGATCTCGGCACCCAATGGGGGTGAGAACAGGACACTTGTCATCAGTGTCCGGGCAGAAGGACCCGACCCAGGTCAGGAGCTGGAGAAGTGAAACTGGGGACCTGGGGATCCCCAGCCCTGGGCTCCCACCCCAGACCTCACCGCCTGGGGACTGAGACTTTGCTGAACCCTGTGCTGCGGGACGGAGCGCTGTTTGTCGTGGTGTCTCTGAGCCGCCTAAGGACAACTGTCTCCTCAGGTTCGTCAGGATGAAACCTAAGAGCACGAAGTGTCCAGGGAAAACACACACAGCACTTGAAATGAATGTTCAGGAAACAGGTGCTGTCGGAGTCCTGGTGACGGTGCGGGGCTGCCGTGGACACCGTCATCGGGAGGTGACTGGAGTTTTCACAGCTCTGGTCAAGGGCTTTTGACACACTGTGTTATCTGTGACTCTCTCCGTGCTGGAGTCCCTACTCACCTCTGCTTTCACTTTCTACTTCTGTTATGTGTGGCTGGGATTTGAAAATACCAAGTCAAAATCCACAGAAAGGAAAGATTTATAAACTTAATTTTTCTCCGCACTACTCAACAGGGATGAAACCTCAGATCCCCAGTGTGTACCTCTGCCATGAGAATTACCTCTGTCCAGTGTCCACCCTGCACAGGCCTGAGGAACTCAGGAGCCAACTGTTCTCAGACCCAGGGCTCCACAGGCCTGTGACATTCATCTCCCTCATCTCATCAGCTCATGAAGTGTGAGTGAAGATTGTAGCTAGTCTTTCTCTGTCCCACCAGCCTGCTCCCAAATCATGATATGGAGACTTATTATTAATTATGAAAGCTGACTTGATAACTTAGGCTTGTTTGTAATTAATTCTTATAACTTAAATTCACCCTTATATTTTAATCTACATTCCTTTTCCTGGCTTGGTTACTTTTATCTTGTAAAGCCCATGAATGCTGCTTGCTCTGCATCTCTAGCTTCTCCTATATGTTATGCTTCCTCAAGTCTCCTGGTGACTCTGCCCTTCTTCCCAGAGTCCTCTGTGCCTGGAAATCCTGCCTAGCTATTGGCTGTTCAGCTTTTTATTAAACGAATGAGAGTGACGTTTCTTCACAGTGTATGAAAAGATTATTTCACAACATTCCCCCCTTTCATCTAAATGAAGAGGAAAGCTTTTAACTCTAAGAATGCAATATACATACAATAAGACCAATTACCAAGTAAGAAATACACTTACAATGTCCAGTCCATTAATATATGACAAATTTAGAGGAAAACATTCCATTATCTATCCTCTCTTGATGAATCCAAAGTTTTGTACCTAATTTACTTTCTATCATGACTAAGGGAAATTGTAACTGTAACTATCTAGTCTTCAACTCCATCAAAGCCCTGAGAAGGATATAATATCACCTGAGTAAACAGGAAGTGCTGAGCAAGCAACTTCCAAAACTATGAAATGGTGGAGACATCTGGATTTCTGGTCAGTCACCCCAGGGTTCTTCTGTAATGCTAGGACATCCATCTTCAGCCTACAGGCCCAGATTATCTGACAGACTTTTCTGTGAAGCAGGAATTTTTGAAGGACTGTCCCGCCTTGTCTTGGCAAAGTTCAACAATCTTTTCCTTTGTGTCCTGCTTGTCCAGTTTGTACAGCACACTGTCAGCAGTTAAGACAAGACCAGTTTCTTGCCCACATGGCTGTTCTTGCTCTAGGTGGAAGTTTCTGTGTTCAGCCAGCAACTCAAATACCAGGCAGCTGCTTCCCAAATAATTGATTTAGAGACTTAATATTGCTTATGAATTCTTGGCCCATAGCTCTGGCTATTACTAACTAGTTCTTACATTTAAATTAATGCATAATTCTTATCTATATTTAGCCATGTAGCTTGGCACCTTTTCTCAGTCCGACATTCTCATCTTGCTTCCTCCCCATCTGGCTGGTGAGTCCTTGACTCCACCCTTCCTCTTCCCAGAATTCTCCTAGTCTCCCCGCTGCTGGCCAATCAGCATTTAATCAAACCAATCAAGTAACAAGTCTTTACAGTGCAAGAGCATTATCCCACAGCTCTTGCCACCTTGAAAGCAAACTCTATATGGAGTTTCTTCGATACCCATCATCTTCTGTGAATTGGTTCTGCCAGAGCAGATGTGTCTCATCATGAAAAGCATTATGTTATTATAACATTTTAAATGTTATATTCTGTAGGTCTTTGAAGTGTTTGAAGATCACTATCTATCTAAAACCTACCATGACCATAAGTTTGATTGTTATAGATGTCTAAGTTAAGGCATTCCTAAGGTATATAGGTTGGTTTAATTCAGGAGTCCCTTCCACAGTCCAGTGTCTCTCAGCAGCTGTAGTTTGTTCATTAGCATTCAAAAAATTCAAAATTAATAAAGTACCATATAACTCCTTGTGTTATAATATTTCCCATCTTTTCAAGATTTATTCTTTTTTATTACTTCTCTCTTTAAAGACTTCATTTTTTTTTTTTTTTTTGGTTTTTCGAGACAGGGTTTCTCTGTGTAGCTTTGCACCTTTCCTGGATCTCGCGCTGTAGACCAGGCTGGCCTCAAACTCACAGAGATCCACCTGCCTCTGCCTCCCGAGTGCTGGGATTAAAGGCGTGCACCACCACCGCCCGGCAAAGACTTCATTTTTTAAAACTACTTATTTTTTATGACTGTATTCTTTTCTTTATTTTTCTTAAACTTAAGCACATTGTTAAACACACTGTAACCTGTTTAGAGGTTTTGTCTGTCTGAACCTGCTTTACTGTGTATCTGTAACCTTTTCTGTCTGCATGAGCAAAACCTTAAACTACTGAGTAGCTTAGCTCATGGTTCACTGGTGACTCAAGCCTGCAGGTAGTGTCCACGAGATGCATTTCTGTACCATGTGAGAGGCTGCAGGACTAAGGAGCCGTGTTTGACTCCATTTTTGTATGTTTGGAAACTTTTTTAAAGCTGTCTCAGGTCTTATGTAGAAATATGTGCCTGGAGGTTGAGCATCATTTATAGTGAGACTTTCTCTGTCCCTGCTGTCAAATCACAACATGGATACTTATTACTAGTTATGGAAGCTTGGCCAATAGCTCTGGCTTGTTTCTAACTAGTTCTTATAACAAAAACCCATATACTTTAATATAATGTCTTTGTTAGGGTTTACTGTTACTGTGAAGAGACGCTATGACCATGGCAATTCTTTCCTTTTTTTTTTTTTTTTTCCTTTTTTTTTTTTTTTTTTTTGGTTTTTCGAGACAGGGTTTCTCTGTGTAGCTTTGCGCCTTTCCTGGAACTCGCTTTGGAGACCAGGCTGGCCTCGAACTCACAGAGATCCGCCTGGCTCTGCCTCCCGAGTGCTGGGATTAAAGGCGTGCGCCACCACTGCCCGGCCGACCATGGCAATTCTTATAAAGAAAACATTTAGGGCTGGAGAGATGACTCAGAGGTTAAGAGCCCTGGCCGCTCTTCCAAAGGACCTGGGTTCAACTCCCAGCACCCACATGGCAGTTCACAACTGTCTGTAACTCAAATTCCAGTGGATTTGGCCTTCTCACACAGACATACATGCAGGCAAAACCCCAATGTACATAAAACAATAATAAGGCCGGGCAGTGGTGGCGCACGCCTTTAATCCCAGCACTCGGGAGGCAGAGCCAGGCGGATCTCTGTGAGTTCGAGGCCAGCCTGGGCTACCAAGTGAGTCCCAGGAAAGGCGCAAAGCTACACAGAGAAACCCTGTCTCGAAAAACCAAAAAAAAAAAAAAAAAAAAAAAAAAAAAAAAAAAAAAAAAAAAAAAAAAAAAAAACAATAATAAAAAATCTTTAAAAAAAAAAGAAAAAGAAAACATTTAACTAAGGGATGCTCGCTTACAGTTTCAGAGGTTCAGTCCACTATGATCATGAATGGGAGCATGGCAGCATGTTGGCAGACATAGTGCTGGAGCTGTTAGTCCTACATCTTGCAGGAAACAGGAAAGTGACTGACTGTCACATGGGGGAAGCTTGAGAAAAAGAGACCTCACAGCCTGCCCTCACAATAACACACTTCTGCCAACAGGGCCATACCTCCAAACAGTGCCACTCCCTTTGGGGGCCATTTTCTTTCAAACCATGGCATCTATGTTCTGTTTCATTTGGTTTGTCAAGACAGGGTTTCTCTGTGTAGCCCTGCCTGTCCTGGAACTTAATCTGTAGACTAGGCTGGCCTCCAACTCAGAGATCTCTCTGCCTCTGCCTCTTGAGTGTTGGGATTAAAGGCGTGCACCACCAGGCCTGGCTCTCTTTGTTTTATGAGACAGGTTTTCACTGTGAGACCTGACATATGTGGGCTTCATGGAATCGGTTGTTTGTCGGGCACTGTCTGGACACCCTCAGGCCCTGGTGCCACTGTGGAGCTGGTGCCACTGGCTTAGTTTTCCAACAGCCTCCTTCTGTGTACTTCAGATCACTCTCCTCACACTTGGCCTTGATGCTCACACTGGCACAGCAGCCTGCACCATCCCAGTCCCCAGCAGTGGGCTTCGGACCAATCACTGTCACTCTAGAGTCGTCACATACAAGATGCAACATGATCTCCCTCACGGATGCCTTCAGAGGGTCCTGTGTGGAATTCCCACGGGGCAACCATGACCTTGTCATCAGTCATGTCTTCTTGACTCTAGCTACAAAGAAACTCAGTCTGCCTCAGCCTCAGATCCCACAGCACAGTAATGCTGACCTAGGAGCTCAAGGAAGCCATGGGCAGGACAAAACACTGAGCTTCTTTTCCATGACCATGAATTCATACTGTCTTCTGTAAAGGGCTGCTGTCTGCCCTCCATGTTCATTACCTTTGTACAGAGTACACATGTGCCTCACATGGATCTCAGAGGCTCCTGGTTTTACTTGAAAACCTCACAGAACACCAGCCTGTTAGAGTCCTTGCAGACGGGGTCCTGAAATGTGGTGGCAGAGGTGACACACATCCACTGTTGTCCCCTCAGACTGAAAAGTGCTGAGCACTGGGACACTCTTCTCACCCTCACTGTCCAGAATGCTGAACTTGCACAGTCCTGCTCCAGTCCCATCAGTCAGGATACACGCAGCTTCCACTCTCTCACCCTAAGGCGGGGACCCGTCCATGTGTTCCGTGTCTTCACTGAAGTGGGAGCTGGCCAAGGTGACCCTGGTGTCAGGCCGTGGGGGAGAATGAGAGGGTAGAATGCATGCCTGGAGCCCGTGAAGGTCAAGGAGTTGTCAGATCCTCTGGAACAAGAGTTATTAGCGGTTGTGAGCTGTGTGCGTGCTGAGAGCTGAACCCAGGTCCTCTGCAAGAGCAAAAAGGCTCTGAACCACTGAGCCAACTCTCCAGCCCCTCCAAATTAATTTTTAAATAATTATCTTATTGTGTGTTATCAAAAATGATATTTTGTCTGAGAAATAACCATTTTCTAAAATAAAACAACAGGGTGAAAAGGATGGATCTTCTTTACACTTTACATTTTTCCACATCCTCTTCTTGTCCATTTTGTTAGAAGGTCACTGGATTTTCCT